AAATATAGGCAAATAATAGTCTATGTATATTTGGGCAGAGTAACGAAGTTTGGATGGTTTTGAATGGTCGAGGCAAGAGTTCGACTCTTTCTTCTTAAAACGATAATGCCCTGCACTAGTACTGACGGTATTGCAGCACTCGTTTCCCAAGATACAACGACCTCATCTTGTAATAGTAGTACTCCAAATTACAAGACCCGACGAACCCGTAAAGTTTAGATTTCTCCACACACACTGGATGTAAAATACACGAAAAATAATTTTCGAGAACTGAATTATAAAAGCAGAAATGATGCAAGGACAAAAGGATAATTTCGGGAGAGTAGAAAATCAATTCTGATTTTGGTATGAATTAAAATCAGGGTATGGGGGCCGATATATAGATGTTGAAAGGTTGTGTTCCAACAGACACAACTGTCGAAAAGTTGTGTCCAAAAAACACAAACAGTTTGGACAGTCAACCGCCACTTTGGACAGTCAACCACCACAACCCGCCAAATTCTAGAAGCATTGCACCACGTGTCACACACAGAAAATTCGGGGAAAAAAATAATAACATAAAATATATTATTATTATAATAATAAAATAATATAATTCAAATGTTATTTTACCAAAAAATATATATCAGCTTGGCCCAAGCCCAAGACCCACGACCCGTGATGGTGCCGAGCCAAGCCGGCAGGTCGGACGGACGGCGGCGTGCGTGTGTGGGCTTTGGCTTAACCTACTAGCATGTAGGTTCTCTCCCCCTCAAAGATTATTGGTACCCCTTGGGGCCCAAACCCAAGTCCCAAACTTGAGCTATATAAGATAGTTTATATTCTTCTAGTTTTCCTATGTGGGATTGGTATTTTCCAATTTTTCACCTATTTTATTTCAATATCAAGTGGGCATCTTTTGACCTTAATTTCTCATTCACCCTAAATTGGGTTTGAGAAAATAAATATACCATATTCATCTACTCATGGAGTAGAACACATTTGGCCAAAGAAATCTTATATCCGATTAACGGGACTCACTAAATTAATTGGTCAAACCAACTAATTAACCCAATTTACCCAACAATCCCCCACATGAATGAAAATTAATGCAATAGACTATACAAACCCTATAGAGAGATCAGGCGGAATGTTATCGCATCTGGATAGGTACCTTATGGGTTTGAACCTTCCGTAGTAGAATACTATCGAATTTACTTGGCTAATCAGTGAACGCGGTGTCTTGAACTGTCAGCCATTTTTGTAAACCAAGACAATAGTATCAACACAATAACCTTCCTAACATTTTCGAGTTCTCACTGTTGTGTTCATTTTGGCCCTGAACAACTCTTAGATTTCATAAGTGATTTAGAGAATTCAAGTCTTTGAGACATTCTCATAGAAGCGGCAACACTACACACTTGTATAGGTGATCTCCTATTAAGAGTACCTGCCATACTCCACTTAGGTAGTCCAAGATATTGGAATCATTAGAAGTATAACTTAACCTAAAACTTTCTGCAAATAGTACTTCCTTATCATAGGAATGGGTAGGAGTTAACTCCGAAGTGCTTATTGAATCTTCATAACTTAGTTGTCCCATTGAACCAAGATTTTGGGATCACCAGTCAGCAATGTTGGGTTACCATTACAAAGATTCTTATATAGTAGGCTTTAAACCCATTCCCCTTGATAGGCAGTATACTTGATCTCTTGGTAAGCCTTTGGTAAGTGGATCCGTAAGATTTTCTCTAGACTTTACATAATTTATGGAAATAACACCATTTGAGATCAACTGCTTAATTGTATTATGTCTTCGATGAATATGTCAAGACTTACCATTATACATACTACTTTGTGCTCTACCGATAGCCGACTGACTATCACAATGTATACTAATTGCAGGCACAGGCTTAGGCCAACATGGAATATCCTCTAAAAAATTTCGAAGCCATTTTTCTTCTTCTCCAACTTTATCTAAAGCTATGAATTCAGATTCCATTGTGGATCGAGCTATACATGTTTGTTTAGAGGATTTTCCAAGATACAGCTGCACCAACAATGGTAAAAACATACCCACTAGTGGATTTTGAGTCGTTTGTATCTGATATCCAATTAGTATCACTGTATCCTTCTAATACAGCTGGATATCTCTTATAATATAATCCAACATTTGAAGTGTATCATAGATATCTTAGAACCCTTACCAGTGCTTTCCAATGGTCATTATTTGGGTTACTTGTATATCTACTAAGTTTGTTTACTGCATATGCAATATCCGGACGAGTGCAGTTTGTAATGTACATTAGACTGCCTATTATCCGAGAATATTCTAATTGAGATACGAGTTCGCCTTTATGTTTGGCCAAATGTAGACTTAAATCTACTGGTGTTTTAACTGGACTTTCATCATACATATTAAACTTTTTAAGTACTGTCTCAATATAGTGAGATTGAGACATTACAAGTCCCTCAGATGTTTTAAGAATTTTAATTCCTAATATTACATCTGCAATACCCATATCTTTCATGTCAAAAATGTTTTGTCAACATTTTCTTGGTATTTGTTATCATATCATAACTACTACCCACAATTAGCATGTCATCAACGTATAGACATACAATTACATATGCATTAGGTGTGATTTTAATATAAACACATTTATCACATTCGTTAATCTTAAAACCATTTGACAATATAGTTTTGTCAAATTTTGCATGCCATTGTTTTGGCGCATGTTTTAGTCCATATAATGAATTGACGAGTCTACACACCTTTTTCTCCTGTCCAGGAGCGATGAACCCTTCGAGTTGTTCCATGTAAATTTCTTCTCCTAGCTAACCATTTAAGAAAGTTGTTATGACGTCCATCTGATGGATTTCCAAATTATGCCATGCTGCGATTGCAATTAATACTCTAATTGATGTTATCCTTGTCACAGGTGAGTATGTATCGAAAAAATCAAGGCCTTCCCTTTGTTTGAATCCTTTAGCTACCAATCTGGCCTTGTATTTATCAATTGATCCATCAGTCTTTAATTTTCTTTTGAAAATCCATTTACAATCTAATGATTTATTACCAGGTGGGAGATCTACCAATTCCCAGGTATGATTGCATAATAAAATCAATTTCACTATTGATAGCCTCTTTCCAGAATGGAGTTTTTGGACTAGACATTGCTTCATTGAATGTCCTAGGTTCATTTTCTAACATATAAGTTAAAAAATCTAGACCAAAAGATGTAAATGTTTTGGTTCTTTTGCTGCGTCTTGGTTCTTCATCACTTTGAGGATTACTAATTGCAGAATTATAAGTTCGTTTTTGTGGGCTTATTTCTTTCCTATCTTTACAAGAAAACGTGTCCTCAAAAAATACAGCATTCCTATACTCAATAATAGTATTTTCATATATATCCGGAATGTCAGACCTATGTACGAGGAACCGATAAGCACTACTGTTATTAGCATATCCAATGAATATGCAATCGATGGTTTTAGGCCCTATTTTAACTTGTTTAGGATTTGGTATTTGTACCTTAGCCAAACACCCCCACACAAGTATTTGTACGAAGGTTTATGACATTTCCACACCTCATAAGGAGTTTCGTTCCTACCTTTGTGTGGTACTTTATTTAGAATGTGGTTAGCTGAGAGAATTACTTCCCCCCACAAATTTTGTGGTAAATCAGAACTAACCAACATAGCGTTCATCATCTCTTTTAGAGTACGATTTTTGCGTTCCGTAATACCGTTTGATTGAGGTGAATAAGGAGCTGTAGTTTGATGAATAATCCCAGAATCTGAACAAAATTCATCAAACGGTGCTCCATATTCCCCACCTCTATCACTACGAACAATTTTTATTCGTTTGCTTAGTTGATTCTCAACCTCATTCTTGTACTGTTTAAATGCTTCTAAAGCCTCGCCTTTACTCCTTAGCAAAAAGACATAACAATACCTTTTGCAATCATCTATAAAAGTAATAAAATACTTTTTACCTCCTCTAGTTTGTACAAACTTTAAATCACAAATATCACTGTGAATTAGTTCTAGAAGATTCGAGTTCTTTTCAACTGAATGAAACGGTGTTTTCGCTAATTTAGCCTCTACACATGTTTCGCATCGATGATTTTGATCAAAGGACATAGAAGGCAATAAATCTAAACTTACTAATCTTCGTAAAGTATTAACATTTACATGTCCTAACCTATCATGCCATAAGTTAGAAGACTCAATCAAGTAAGTAGAAGATTTATTTTTATTAATATCAAAATCACGGAGTACAGGCATTACATTCAATTTGAATAGCCCATTGGCTAAGTACCTTTGCCTACAAACATGCCATTTTTGGTGAGTACAAATTTGTCAAATTCAAATACCAGCCTAAACCCATTCTTGCTTAACAGAGCTCCGGATACCAAGTTTTTGCGAATATCGGGAACATGCAGCACATTGATGAGTGTTACTTCTTTCCCTGATGTCATCTTCAGCACTACTTTACCTAAACCAATAACTTTTGATGTTGCTGAGTTGCCCATGAAGAGTTGTCGTCCATTGATAGGAGTATAAGATGAAAACATGTCCTTATCCGCACAAACGTGATGAGTAGCGCTAGTATCAACAAACCATTCTCTCGGATTATCCACCATGTTTGCTTCAAGTACAACAGCCAAGAGCATTAGTTCAGACACTCCGTTAGATAGTCTGTCTTCTTCAGTCAAGTGCACTTGGTCCTTTATGTTTTGCTTTTTTTGCCGGCAATCCTTTGCAATATGACCACGCTTATCGTAGTTATAGCAATCTCCTTTGAATTTCTTAGCCTTGCTCTTTTGCTTGCCATTATTCGGGTGCTTCCTTTTCTTGCTAGTATTTGGCTCCACCAAATTGACTTTAGCCTCCATTTGCTACTTTCCAGACTTCTTTTCAGCATTTCGATTGTCTTCCTCAATTCTTAATCTAACAATCAAATCTTCAAGTCCCATTTCCTTGCGTTTATGTTTCAGGTAGTTCTTGAAATCTTTCTACATTGGTGGTAATTTTTCGATAATTGCAGCTACCTGAAATGGTTCACAGAGCTTCATGTCTTCTGCATGTATACCGTGCAAGATAAGTTGTATCTCTTGGACTTGAGTCATTACTGTTTTAGAATCTACCATTTTGAAGTCCAAGAATTTGCCTACAACGAATTTCTTCAATCTGGCATCTTCTGTTTTGTATTTCTTTTCCAATGACTCCCATAGTAATTTAGCCGTTTTGACGGAACAGTATACGTTGTATAGTGTGTTGTCAAGGCAATTGAGGATGTAATTTCTGCACAAGAAGTCACTATGACTCCAAGCATCGAATGCTGCTCGTTTTTGAGAATCTGTTTCCTTCTCCTCAATGGTTGGAGCATCTTCTCTCAAGATTTTGACCAGATTCAGAGTCGTGAGATAGAACAACATTTTCTGTTGCCATCTCTTAAAATCCACTCCCGTGAATTTTTTCGATTTCTCCCTGTGAGTATTGTTAGGACGTACGATAGACGTACTAAGGGGTACAACAGACGTACTATTACTTGCCATTATCATTTTAAGATTGTTGAGAAATATAGGCAAATAATAGTGTATGTATATTTGAGCGGAGTAACGACGTTTGGATGGCTTTGAATGATCGAGGCAAGAGTTCGACTCTTTCTCCTTAAAACGATAATGCCCTGCACTGATACTGACGGTATTGCAGCACTTGTTTTCCAAGATACAACGACCTCGTCTTGTAATAGTAGTACTCCAAATTACAAGACCTGACGAACCCGTAAAGTTTAGATCTCTCTACACACATTGGATGTAAAATGCACGAAAATAATTTTCGAGGACTGAATTATAAAAGCAGAAATGATGCAGGGACAAAAGGAAAATTTCGACAGAGTAGAAAATCAATTTTGATTTTGGTATGAATTAAAACCAGGGTATGAGGGCCTATATATAGATGTTAAAAGGTTGTGTCCCAACATACACTATTGCCGAAAAGTTGTGTCCAAAAGACAAACAGTTTGGACAGTCAACCGCCACAACCCGTCAAATTTTAGAAGCACCGCACCACGTGTCACACACAGAAAATTCGGGGAAAAAAATAATAACATAAAATATATTATTATTATTATAATAATAAAATAATATAATTAAAATGTAATTTTACAAAAAAAAATATATCAGCTTGGCCCAAGCCCACGACCTGTGACCGTGCCGTGTCGAGCTGGCCGGTCAGACGGACGGTGGTGGTGCGTGTGTGAGCTTTGGTTTAACCTACTAGCATGTGGGTTCTCTCCCCCTCAAAGACTATTGGTACTCCTTGGGGCCAAACCCAACTCCCAAACTTGAGCTATATAAGGTGATTTATATTATTCTAGTTTTCCTATGTGGGATTGGTATTTTCCAATTTCTCACCTATTTTATTTCAACATCAAGTGGGCATATTTTGGACTTAATTTCTCATTCACCCTAAATTGGTTTTGATAAAATAAATATACCATATTAATCTACTCATGGAGTAGAACACATTCGGCCAAAGAAATCTTATATCCGATTAATGGGACCCACTAAATTAATTGGTCAAAAGTTGGTCAAATCAACTAATTAACCCAATTTATCCAACAAGAATCAGGTTACATCATGTGCGCGTGAGAAATCTTGGAAGAAAATGGGTCGTCCATGTGGGCTGAGCTAACCCAAACTATATGAGAATGTTATTGGAGGGAGAAGTTGATGAAGTTGAGAAAATTAAATTTAAAACTCAACTTCCCACAATCCACGACTCCCATTCATAACTTCCACGCCAAAGAATATGAAAAATAAAATACAAAATTCGTATGGAAAAATTAAAAAAACAAAAGGAGAGAAAAGGACTTGAGGGTGGTGGCTTGATTTTGGAAAGTATATCATCTCAAATTGGGTTCTTGGATTGTGACTATCAAATTCTTTCCTTTGTGATCGAATTTCTGACGAAAGAGTGAGTATAAACAGTGTGAAAGAGAAGCAAATAAAAGGCAAGTGATTCAACCTCGTTTTGATGATTTCAAGTAAGTTTTATAATTTGAATTTTCATTAGAAGCATGCAAGCACGTTTTACGCAAACAATAATAAAGCTATTTTAGCACATAAAATAATACTCCAGATTAGCACTCTACATATACTATATTTCCAGTTGGGATAAAGATATAGAATAAACAGTGCAATAATCAAAACATAAGAAGATGACACAAAGGGGATATGTACTATCCAGACGCCTGACTGAACAAGGATGTTTTCGAAGAGGATTGTTGAGTTTGCTTCTATGGCTCAATAATAAGATATTGCACACACTAAGACAAGTAAACGTTTGAGTAGATGACCTTTAAGACCAACAAAACCGATAATTATATATGGATTATGATTTCACTCATCGTATTTGTCACTACATCTATCGGTAGATCTCCATGGATCTAGAGAAACGATAAGTTCCACTAGTTGATCAGCATCACCATGGTCGGATGGCAAGATGTCATCTTCTGTTCGGAAATTATACCGTTGTCCAATAGCTTTCAAAAACTGGTACACTTCAAACATGGTAGGCCTCTCTTTAGGATCTGTCAGCACACAACTACAGGCAACATTAAGAAACTTGGAAAGCTCATCATCATAACCTTTTCCAACCAGGAATTGGTCAATTGCATCCTAAAGTTTATAGGTTCCAGATAGATGGAAAATCCAGCCTACTATATTACCATTAAATCTTTTGGGGGCTTTAGCCACATTGGTCGGTCTCTCGCCTGTTACTAACTCGAGAAGCACGACCCGAAAACAGTAAACGTCCCCACTTGGAGTGGCCAGCAATGTTCGTACATATTCTGAAGCAATATAGCCCATGTCCCCAAATTCACCATTTACAAAAGTAACTAAATAAGCTCCGATGGGGCTCATGAGACTCGCAAGTCCAGAATCTAATATTTTGGGTTCATAATCGACATCCAGTAAGATGCACTTGGAATTTATGTTTCGATGAATAATATGAGGATTGCAGCTGTGGTGTAGCCACGCGAATCCTTTCGCTGCCTCAATCCCAATTTTGAGCCTTAAAGGCCAATCCATATGTTCGCTCCCATCTTTCAAGTGTAGTCTATCATGGAGACTGCCATTGGGCACGTGCTTGTATACTAAAAGTCTCTCCTCCTTAGTTGTACAGAATCCTAGAAGTGGAACCAAGTTATTGTGATTTACATTTGCTAGTGTAGCCATTTTAGAAGAAAATTCGTTGTTCAAGTGTTAAGTACCGCGCAATCTCTTCACCATGAGACAGGTGCCATCTTCAAGTTCAGCCTTGTACATTGTCCCTGTTCTTCCAAACCCAATTATATTCTCTTTACTGAAGTCATTAGTCACCTTCATGAGATCCCTCAATGTCATTTCAGAAACCGAGTTCTCAAACATCGAAAGCTGAAATCAGGAAACATGACTATTTGTGAAAATATAATTATGAGAAAAATAATCATGTTTATAAGTGACACCAAAAGTATGAAGTTCAAAAAAATAATTAAGGGAAATTGAAGCCACCGTTCTCAAATTTTGACAAATATAGCACTCGGCTCCCCAATGTAATTTAGTTTTTTTGCCATTAAGGTTCCTAAACTTCGATATTCGGTTCTCATTGGTCCACGGGATGAAACTGTCAATTGTTCCATCAAATATTCACACACTTTAAACGTGATAACACATTTAAGGGTAATTTTTGTCAACCCAATTCATTTCTTCCAAACAGTTAAAAAAGGAAAAGAGTGTGCTAACCTTTGCATTCGTCTTTTTCACCCTTTTTGACTGTTATTGAGTGAAATGGAATTGGTTGACGAAAATAACACTCAAATAAGCAAGCATGTGACGATCTGAAAGAAAATTGACATTTTTCATCAAGGACTAAAGCACAAAGAATATGAAAGTTTAGGGATCTAAAACCAGAAAAACTGTTGGGATCCACATTCTTTATTTGCCAATAAAATGTAAATGTATCATGCATTGATGGCTTTGGCATCCTTGATTCTCTTTGCCCATTTGTTGCCCATAGGATATTCTTCCTTCTTCTTTCTGGACGCCTTACGCAAATAGAAGAACGTGCCTATGCAAATGCCAATCCCAACAGCGAAGCCTGCAAAAGCCGCCCCTGCAATGGCTGCACTATTAATTTTCTTTGAAGAACCACCACAAAGGAGGGGTAAAGGATTGCCACATAGTCCTGTATTATTCGCATAGCTATCTAGTAGAACAATAGCATTTCTGAATTGTGGAACTTGGCCGGTCAATCGGTTGTTAGCCACGTTAAATGTTGTCATTCGATTGAGTAGACCAATTTGAGCAGGGATTTGGCCTTACAACTGGTTGTTGTCAAGTTTAAGGACATTCAAATAAGTGCAATTTGAAAGATTCATAGGGATCTCTCCGGATAACTGGTTGGACGAGGGATCAAGGCTTGTCACATATTCAAGTAACTTGGAGATATTTTTCGGAATTTTTCCATCAATCTTGTTATCAGAGAGATTTAAGCTAGTCAAGGATGAACAACCAGCAACACCAAGAGGAAACTTACCCTTTAGTCCCAAATTCCCAAGCAGAACATTCAAGACCCTGTTCTCATCTGGATGCCAACACTCGATTCCAATAAACTTACATATAAAACCTTCAGTCTTGTTATCGAAGTTCCATGTCGTGAGGTAGCCATCTGGGTCTTCCAAAGAATCTTTTATAGCTCTGAGGCAGTTAATATCACTTTGAATCGAGTAGGTAAGAGATCCTCTCACAATCAACAAAGAAAAATTTTCACAAGAGTCAAGAGAACTCTAAAATCGAATGTCTTCCTCGTGAAAAAACCAGCCATAATTCACAAAAACCTGAGTATACAAACCTGAAACATATTCAAATTCGAGCAGGAAAAATATAAAATAAACACAACATCCTAAAAGCTTTCAGCTGAGGGAAACAAGTTAATTAGAATATGAATGTAATGACTAAATCCGATTTCATAATTGTTATTGTTTCAATAAAATAGATTTAGCCCTTGTTTTGGTGAAAATTAGAATCAAGATTTTAATCTAAGTCAACAATTAATTTTGACCATACATTTCATGGACCCCCACAACTTTTCATCCGCACATTTTATCAATTTCTATCAAAACCTACTAAGAATCTTATTTTAAACCCCATCAAATAGGGGTTTAATATTGTACGACAGTAGTTCATTTTTTAAGCATTTAATTTATTTGATAATATTATAGTTCTCAAAATGAGTCTGATTTTGACGTATAATCAGAGCTCAGGACCTCATACTTTAGGAGATGATGCCTATGACAAGGCAACGTCATCTAGAATGGGAACAAGGATTCGGGGTAAATCCAATAGTTACTGGGTTATATTTTCCATAGAAGACTAAAAATCAGATTTTGTAAATTTTTAAAAAAGTTGATTAAATATATAGTTGAAAAGTTGATAAAAATTGTAGGACATATGAAATGTATGGCTACAATTAATTATTGAATTTAATTAAACTTTTATCTCTATTTTTA